TCCTTACTGTGTCGGTGGGCAGCAGCCACTGCAGGCAGTGGCCATCCCCGGGAGCCCATGTTCTCCCCCCAGCACCCCTGGGCCACGTGCCCGCCCAGCACAGGAGCTTCTCCCCAGGCAGCAAACTCCTTGGCCATGGGGCTGCACAGCAGCAGCCAGGTTTTGCCGGCGCGGTGGTGTTGGCTGAGCTGCAAACTCCCTTTACTCAGTTATGGATGACGGGGGCAGAGGCATTCTCCCACCCTCTTGTTCCTCCCAGTGTTAAATGTAATATATACATATTTTTAAGGCCGGTGCAGTCTGACTGCCAGTATGCCAAAGCGTACTGACAAAGGCAAGTGGAAACCCTTGCAATCTGGCCCCAAATGCCTTTGTTGCAACCGCTGCTCTCGCACAGGGTCGCGGCTGCGTGTGCGGGCTGGGGGGGTCCCTGGGGGCCGGCTCCCTGGGCGCCGGCCCTGCCGTCTCAGATGATTTGATGCAGAAATACTGTTTCACGCCTCAGAAGGTTAATTATGCATCGTTCACCCATTTCTGCTTGCTTTTGCTCCCTCCCTCATTGCTGTTGCTATAATTTTATTTATTTATTTTCAAACAGTTTCACAGATTTCCCTTCTGGGCGACTCTGGAATTAACTCGATCAATGCACGCCTGATGAAGCAAAATGTAATTTTTCCCTGGAGTCAGGCCTGACTCGGGGATGGCTTCGGTGCTGCTGAAGAGCTGCCCATGTGCACTCTCCCAGAAAGAGGTCGTCATTGCCTGCAGGGCCCGGGCGGTGAGCTCTCGCTGCTCAAATTCAGAAAATCTTTCAAACTTTGCATTTCAGATTTGTATCTCAGCTCCTGCACAAGCCTGGTTTCTGCCAGCGGAGGGTCGGGCGTAGAGCAGAAAGCAAAGCACTGCGGGAGAGCAGCACCAGCCCACTGTCGGACCGGGGTCCTGGTCCTGCACAGACGGTGTCGGGGCGTGGTGGGGCTGGAGGGGGGCGAGTGCCTTGGCACTGTCCTAATTTTAAACAGAAAATTATTAATAACTCCAGGCTATTTTTAGATGGCACGCTGGAGCTCGCGGTTAGTTTGCGGGGGATGATACAAGGCAGGTGGCAGCGCCTGGCCAGGGAGCGGGCAGCTCTAGTGCAGGAGCCGGTGGGTTGGGCTGGAGACCCTGTCCCCAGGGGTTTCCACCCAAAATACCTGTGGAGAGGCAGAGCTGGGGTGCCCACGCGACTTGGATGGTCCCAGGGGCGCCCAAAATTCAACACGTTTGCAAAGCTGGGGCGGTGCCATGGCGGTGGCTGCTCAGCCCTGTGCCCCCCACCTTGCGCTCGCAGGGTCGCTCGGGGCCAGGGTGCTCCTTCAGCTGCTGTTGGCAGCCAAAAAAGCACTGGCCCCGGTAAGGGGGGGTGAGCCCCTGTGGGGCTGGCGTGGGAGAGCTAGGGGCTGTGTGGGCTCCCGTGGGAGAGCCCGGGGAATGGGCTCTTTCCCCGGGAGAGGTTTTGACACCTTTCAGAGGATTCAAAGCGAACTCCTGCGCATGTCAACACTCTGACGCAAAGACGGCTGCATTTGGCTTTGAACCGGGATGCCGGTTTTGAGCCCGAAAGGCAGAGGGGTGCCCGGGGCCACCCTGGGCTTGGGACCTTTTGCTGAGGAGGGTCTGGAGCCCACGGCAAATTGCCCCGCGTGCCGTGTCCCCCCACTGCGAGCAGGGGCCACCAAAGCTAACGCTGCTCTTTCCCCTCTGCCTGCCCAGGTCCCTCCGGACACAGCAGCCCCCTCTTAGCGTCGTTGCCTATCCCCGGCCGTCCCCTTCATCCCCCCTTGGACATCAAGCACTTTCTGACCTTCAGGCTCAACGGGACGTCACCACTCAACCTCTTCCCCAACTTCAACACGGTGAGTCCCTGAGGGCGGGTGGGCATCGTCTGCTGGATCCCTCCTCCCCCGCAGCAGTCCCTCTTCTACACAGCACCACTCCTTGAACCCCGCCAGATAATTTCTGGCTTAATTACCGGGGTATTTGGCTGCTGGATGCTAGTGCAACATGCCCGCCCTGCCCTTAGCTCAGAGCGGGTCCTGCCCAGACATCCCCCTTTTTTTCCAGAATTAAAAAGAAAGCTCATTTTAACCAAGATCAATTGGATTTTGCTCCTGGAATAAATAGTAAGAAAGTAGCTCTGGAGAGCAGTTCATTAGTTGAAAAATAAATAAAGAAAAGGAAAGAAAGAGAGAGAAAGCGTATAAAGATACAAGGAACGTGGCTGGTGCTGCGTGGCTGCGGGTGTTGGGCGAGCCTGGTTGCTGTGGGACTTCTCCCACTGCCCGTTTGGGCTCAAGGTCCCCAGCCTTGAACCACCGTACCAAGTGCTTGGGTTATGCAATTAAATGTGTCTTCTCTAGAGATGTTCTGTTATACATCTAAATTGACGTGGATGCAGCTAAAGACATACGACAGCGTCTCGAGTGTGAAATGGCGTTTTCCCCCCTCCGTGCCGCTCTCCCCAGGCTGATCTGAGCCTGGCTGGGGTCTCCATCCACCCGGGCAGCGCCCTGTGCCTCTTGCTGATGGGAGGGATGGGATCCGCTCCAGGAGCCCCTCTCTTGCCTTGCTTTGGGTCCCTGCCCTGGTGTTTCAGCTGCCTGGGATTCCCCTGGGACCCGGCTCCTGGCATTGCTGAGGAGCAGGTTTTGCTCTGCTGGAAACCAGAGGCAGTGGGGAGTAGGACGCAGGGCTGCCCCCCACCTCCCCCCACAGAGGCAGGGCAGACGTTTATGGCTTTGGTAAATGCCTGTTTTTTTCCCTCATGAGCCTGGAAACGGGACTTTCCTGAGCTGCCTCCCCGCTCGCTCGCTGGCCTTTTGTAAGTGGCTTTGAGATTAAACGTGCTCGGAAGGTGCAAATTGTCGCTGAGATCTTCAAAGACGGCCGTAGAAATTAAGTACAGGATTCCTGTTGCTGTTGAAGGGGATTCAGACATCTAACTCCTTTAAGCTCTTTTGAAATCCCAGCTCTAGCCTGTCTCTCCCCTGTGCTAACAAGCAGAAACACAGGAGAGCAGGATTTTTTTTTTAGCTATTAAGGTTGCTGCTTTTTGTCTGGGCTCCCGTTTTTAGTTGCTGGAGTCAGTAGCTAACTTGAACCAGATCCTGTTGTTTGTTCTGTTTGGCTCCCACGTGCCCCTGCCTTGGCACGTGTTCTCCAGAGTTGTGCTGCTTTAAAAAAAATAATAATTTGGAAAACAAATCTTTTGCACTTGCTGGAGCCGCACAGCTTCGTCACGCTGCTTCTGTGCTTGGTGGGGACTCCTCTGCCCTGGAGGATGAGTCGGACTTGGGGATGGAGATGCTGGGGGAGGCTGTCCCGGCTGTACGGGCACCTTGAATTAATTGCTCTGAGCTCAGACCCAAGTCTGGCGCGTGATGTTAGCTGAGCAAAGCCAGGCCTGATCGTCCGGGGGTGGAAGCTGCCCCTTCGGGAGGCATTTGTGCTGGAGAGGTGGCTGAGGCTGGGGTTGCGAGGGCTCAGCGTCATGCCTGGGCAGGCGGCTTTGCAGGGAGCCAGAGCCGAGTCCCTGTCCTCGCAGGATGCAGGGCTCGAGCATCGCCGTGCCCTGGAGCCAGGCTGGCAGGTCCTCGTTTCTCTGCCCAAGTAACCATGATGCCAGGTCAGAGATGCCACCTGGCAGCTCAGCCTCAGGGGTAATTTGGGCGGGTGGGAGGGAGCATCAGTCAAGGTATTTTACCTTTTGAGAAAGCTGCTGTATCTGAGTTGCTATAAAAAGAAATCAGAAGGTTTGCCTTTGCTTACCCAGCATCGCTGGTGATGTGCAGGATTCGGCATTGCCCTGCAGAGCAGGAGCTGTTTGCGACTGCTCAGCAGAACACTTTGCACTTTGAGCAGGTCACAAGGCTCTCATGAACCCAGCAGATGTTTTACTCCGGAGCGAGCAAAACCTTTCCAAGCTGAGCTCTCCTGCCACTTAAAGCAACAACAACAGGGGAAAAAGAATTCTAACGCAACACAGAAGGCATGTTTCATGCTTGAAAGGCCCTTTCCAGCTCTTGGGATGTTGCAAATCCCCAGGACCCAGCAGCGCTTTGCAAAACCACAGCAGGAGTTGCAATCCAAACTGATGCTGCGTCCCTGTGAATTCCCGTTTCTGACCTCGGTGGCCGGCAGGGAGCTCAGCACAGGGATCTCTATTTATATCTGTAGGAACATCCAGCGATAAATAAAGTAATGTGAGTCAATAAGAATTGACTATAAAGCTGAGATCTTTATTCTCCAAGTGTGCGGTGCCCAAAGCCTACCTCTGCTGTTGGGTCAGTTCTGCTGGAAACCGCCAGGAAGAGCCTCCACCCACCCGGCTGCGGGCACCGGTACGTACTGCTGCGGCACAGACCCTCGCCGGCCCCAGGGGAGAGCTGCGGGGTCTATAATGATTCCTTTTCCCATCTGAAATAGCAATGAGTGCATATGTTAGGGAGAAGTTGAGGGTACGTTTGTGTTTTCATTTGGAGAGAAGCACAGGGGCTCTCAGGTGGCATCCAGGCGTTGGAGCCGCTCAGTGCTGTGTGCCAGAGGGAGCTGGGCTGGGCTTCCAGCAAAGCGCCCTGCGTGCTGCAAACACGCCGCGCTTGCCAAGCGTGCTCGACGGAGCAAAAAGCGGCTGTGGCGAGGGGTCACTCAGCCTCCGCCAACACCGTGCAGACGGCACGCGTGCCCCCGGGTGCGCTCCCATGGGGCTGGGCACCTGAAGCCTTTTCAGGATGCAGTGCTTGCGTTTGCTTTGGGATAGCAGGAGTGGTGGTGGTCCCCAGCTGCACCAGCCTTGGCCGGGATGCACGGGGCTGGGGCGAGGAGCCAGGTTTTGGGTGCATCGGCCAGCCTGGCCCCGGGGAGCTCACAGCTGCTGCGCCTGCACAGGGCAGAGCAACAGGGGCTTGGCAAAAGCGCAGGGGGTGTAAAGGCCCAGGTCAATGCCATCATCTTATGTCCCAGGAGGATGAGGGCGTGTTTTGCTGGGGCCGCCAGTGCCACCGCCCCGGAGTCGGTGCTTGACCACGGCCCCAGCGCCGCTGGCTTCACTGGCAAGTTCAGGTTCAGGCCAGGATGGTCCCTGGCCGCCTTTGCGTCCTTGTGCCAGCATCTCCCTTTCCTCTGCATCCTCCTCTGCCACCCTGCCCTGCTCCTGCCGCAGTGCTCGGGGTGCGGATGAGCCCGTGGGAGCCAGCAGGGCTCAGTGGGAGCCGGCAGCCAGGCCCCGGCAGCTGACGCTGCTGCAAAGGTTAGAGCCGTTTTTCTTTTCTTTGTGTGGAAAAGGTGGGTGTTTCCTTGAAAACGAGTGCTGGCCCCGCTTCTGCCCGCAGACTGGCAGCCCAGGAATGCTGCCTGTAGCACATTGCAATGTTTGTCGTCAGGGGTGGAGCAGCGTCTTTGCCATCTGTAGCTTCCTCCAGGTCTCCGCCGAACCCCAAATGCCTTTTCATTTATATGCCAGATAAGTGAGTAAAATTTCATAGCAAACGGGCACTTCATTAATCACCTGCTTTTACCATTCTGCTCATTCCTGGAAAGGAATTTGGGGTTTTGATAATGGCTCTGTTGTCCAGGCATGTGCCTCGAAGACTGATGCACCTGTCTCAGCAACAAAATATCTTTGCAGAGAAATATGATCGCCTGAAAACCCAAGGCTCTACTGACAGCAGGACTCAGATAAGATAATCTTCCTATGCCACAGGGTAGGGGAACAATACTTGCATTATGGATTATAGGCACGCTCAAACAAAGAGGTTATTCTTATTTTCCCCCCCTTAATAAATGCATTTTGTTTAAAACAATTATGGCTTTTCGAACAAGTTTGCTGCCTGGGCTGAGGAATGACGCCGAGTCCTGGGAAGAGACAGAAGCGCCAGGGGCTGTCATCAGCCTGCACACATCTGCCTCGCCTGCAGCCCCCGCGCGCTGCCCCGCCATGAATGGCCTCGTGGAAAGACACGGCTCATTGCAGATAGCTGGAGCTGTTCTGTCTCCACGCACACGCCTGGTGAGATACCAGGGGCTGCGCAGGCTTGCAATTTGTCAGTTTTGTAATTTGATGAGAGCAGGCAAAGTGCGTGCATACCTGACCGGGAGTGGGGCAGCGGGGCAGCCCGGAGTGGCTTTGCACGGGCACCATGCCTCGGGCAAGCTGCACCCGCAGCTGCAGGCACCGTTGTCCCTCCTGCCCCGGCCCCTGTGTGCGCTGTGCAGTGTCCCGTGGGCAAGCAGCAGGCATGCGTGGCTCCGCTCGCGCCTTTGGCTTTGCACAGGGATGTTTCAGCTCCCTGATGAAGAGCATGTGGAGGATTAATGGCCGGTTGCTCGTTTTGATCGCCTCTGCCCCCTTTTTTGGTGGTTTCTGCTCCTGCTAAGTGTCTTGGAAAGCTGCCCTGGCACTGGAAGGTCGAGGGCAGCAACTGGGAGCTCAAACAGAAGCCGATAATTTGCCACCTGTGACACCAGTGTCTGTGGTGGGGGGAGAGGGGACGGGGGGACACGC